CCCCAAAACCCCAAAACCCCAAAACCCCAGAATGCTAAATATCCACATTTTCGAGGTTAACTGATATAATAATTATAAAATGCAAATTCTTCATAATTTAAATTTAACAAATACAAAAGAATAAAGAATACTTAAACTAATCACCAACCGCAAGTACAACTATGAATTTCAGCCAAAATACAGTAGCAAATCTCAAAAACCCAGTTCAAGTGGACTTCTCCTTCTCTGTAAGATATATAGAGTTAAACTCATTCATAGTGTCCCAACCCTACTAATAATTTAGATATTAGTTTTGCGCCAAATGCTAAAGAAAATCCATTAGATAGATCAGCATTAGATTAAACCATGATGATGGGATGCTTTATGGATGAAACAGTAGCTCAAATAGAACCAGTCCCTGAATCAGATGAGGCTGATGAATAGCTAGATCAGCTTCTCAAAGAATAGAACGAAGGCACAACCAATATCTTTGGAGTCAGGCAAAAGCCAGAGAAATAAAAGGTCTCGACTGAAGAGATGATTATGAGTGAAATAGCCAGAAAAAGAGAGTAAAAATTGAAGGAGAAACTCAAGAATCAGAAATTTTACCTCAAAGCAATCAGAGAAAAACCTAACTAGCAGTAAGAAGCAGAAGATATAAAAGTTAAGCGGTCGAAGACTCTAGCAGTTTTCACTCAGCCATAGGGTTTTAATCTTTAAACTGACCAAAGGAAAAAGAATTATTAGATTGATAAAAAGGCCTTGCTCTCTCCCACTGCCACTTTGCTGAGAAAACAGTCTCTTCTTACAAAAGATTCTAAACGATTAAATTCTGGAAAGAAGACCCTAGTAATTCCCTTTAACTTAAGTGAGAGCACTAAAATCAGCAGCTCTACTTACACTTCAAGTACCTAATAAAACCCAAAAGAATTCATTTCATTGAAGACTAGAATTGATAAGTTCTTTAAAGAAGAGACTTAGTGCGCCCAGAGAAGTAGCCATAAAAAGCTGAAGAGATCTCATCTAGAAAGAGATGCGACAAATGAAAACCTATCCCCTAAGAGCCAGAGAAGCAATATAGACTTTAATAGGCATTCAGGAAGTGGAAAATCAGCATAATTGACTAAACCTTAATCACCAAGTTTGAAAACAAACTAGAGGCACAGCACTAAACCTGCAGTCTTGACTTCGGAAGATATGATACTTAGAGAACTAGAAAATAGAGGCAATTTCAAAGCAAGACCATTAAACAAAATGATATTTGAAAAAACTCTAGGAGTTCCCCCTAAAATGGAGAAGATGACTACTAATGAGTTTATGGAATTTAATCTTCAAACACTCAAGAGATAAAAAACTACCAAGCATGATACTTAGGAATTACAGACTAAGCCGTTTAAGGCTCTAGAGCTTAACAAGAAGATTTTTGAGGCTCCAATTGGAATGTACGAGAGAAAATCAGCCCCTCCTAATTCATACAAATATGAATTCAAAGACTTCAAATTCAAGACTGAAGAGAGACTTCAGGAGCATAAAAAAAAGGATACGGAGAGGTTGGGCTCTGTAGATGAAAAGCTTTATCGATTTAAGGCTAGAGAAATGCCGAGATTCCCCTCTCCTCCTTCACCTTAAAAATCTCAAATTTCAAACAATACAAACTTCTAAGGTAACATAGTCATATTTTGATAATGAAAATTTAGAGTTCAACTTATGCACTGAAAAAAGATCAAAAGAATAAAAAGAAAGACTATCATGTCCTCCTCAGATTAAGTAGAAGTTTTCTGCTATTCCCATGCCAGATTTCATTAAGGTATTTCATCTATCATCAGAATTATTCCAAACATTTCTTTTATAGCTGCATCAGCATAATAAGAATATAAAGAGAGATATCTAGCTTACCCAGCCAGTTGGATTTGAGTTAAAATCAGATCAAAGAAGCCAGTTGCATCAAAGGGATTTCGGTGATAAGTTGAGGAAAGAATAGGATGAATTGGAAAAGAAGAGAAATTTCAGAGCATAACCTATTCCTGATTATGATAAAATGAAAATTGAAATTCTACCTAGTGATAAACCCTTGACTCAGCCTGCTCGCCCATTATTCTATGCTGATATGCTCCCACCTAAAAAGGAGAAAAGCATTGATTCCTTCAATAATAAGTCTACAAATTCACCCCCTGATTTCAAATTTTGACCTGCTAGTAACAACATGACACAGCTTATAGATTTTACATATTCAATAGCAGAATCAAATTAAAATCTTGATTTTGACTATTTGAATAATGTTAATTAAAAATTTCAAAATAGTGCTTTAAGGGGTTTTGGGGTTTTGGGGTTTTGGGGTTTTGGGG